GTATCGGATCTTTGTTTTTAAATTCTTTATCATATTCATTAAGTTTGTCGCAACGTATTGAACGTGATTCTAGCCCATATTCATTTGTAGTAAGTAGGTATTTATCATTCAGATTTTGCATACCTTGTTGGTATTCAATAATTAGTTGACCCACAAATTGTTCTAGATCATTGTCCGTTATTAAATGTTTAGGCTTGATAACAGTTTGTATGAATTGTTTGTCTACATGTTTATGAATATCTACACTCGTTTGCGTTGAATAATAATCGCAATCATAATCTAAGGCTTTATGGGTGTCATTGTGGGGCAAACTTTCCGGTTTTATTAGATTTTTCAGTAGAATTGTTTGTTCATTAACTTGGTCTTTAGTCAGGGCAAAATTTATTTCCGATAATTGGCCAAGTGCCACTACGTTCCCATGGTCTGGCCCAATTTTAGCACTTATATCAAAACGCGCACTGTTTTTATCGTTTAGATCGCTCGTGATAAACAAGTAGAAGTTTATTGATTTTTTAATTTTAAATTCCTTATTCTCAGGGTACTTTTTCATTGTATATTGTTTAATTACTGAATCGGGGCCTTCTGTAATGGTAATAGTAATCGGGAACCAATCGGAGCGTTTAAGCTTAAATTTGACATAGGTGTTTGGTTTGGGCACTTTATTAGCCGGTAGTAATACTTTGCATTCATTTAAGGATTTAATATGACATACGATATCCCGAAACAACACTCCAGTGATGGGTATGTTATGGCCATTGGTTTCGCAGTATTTTCTGTAATACATGGCACCCCTCATAATAGCTGAATCAATATCATTGTATGTAATTTTTGAACAATAGTTATTGAGTTTTTGGTTAAAATTAGTTGTCAATTGGATTTCCTTTTCACCTAATAAAAAACAAATTTTACTTTAATTGAACTTGGGTTGAAAATGTTTTTATTGTTTAAATCATATATCATACTGTACTTGTAATGTATGATAGTGATATAATTTATATTATTTTATAATAATAAAACTTACCAACTATGTAACAATCATGTAGTTTTGCATTAGATTTTCTTTTGGAGTTATTAAACAATTCCTTTAAACTATCGAAAAATTTATTTTCAAAATTAAGACTAATTGTGGACCCATCGATGTTAACCCGTTTATATGCATTGTATTTAACACACGTCTCGTTATTATTAGCGATATATTTAACGAGTGCTAACTCACAGACATTGCCAATCATTAAAATGATTAATACACGTGAATTTGTCGTATTTCGTCCATCATTTACAAAACCATATTCAAGGGCCACCGAGGTCATTGTGCTAATAAACTGGACATGGTCAATACCCGCGATCACAGCGCTATCTTTATACGCATTCAATTGCCTTATGGTGTAATTCGTGGGCACAATAAATACCATGTGTTTCATGTAATTTTGATATACATTTTGAGCCGTAATCTTCGCGCCTAACATTTGTAACGCAACCAACGACTCGATATATAACTCAATATTCATCTCATTGTTAAACATTAGCCCCAGTTTTGGGTGCCGTTTGTCCACAAAATCAAAGGGATAGCGATTGAGCTCATCGTCCGTCACATCCCTTCCCATAATGTTTTTAACTGCTATCATTAATTTAGGCCAATCATACTGACCATGGTCATATTTGTCATTCTCATATTTTTGGATTATATGCAGTGGTTCACCGTTAAAAACCTCAGAATTTGTATCTTTATGTATGCTGTCATCACATATTAAAACAATATCATGATCACTTTTATCACGTGCATTACTTTTATCATTGTAATAAATTGTCATTTGATTGCTCACAATCTTTACAATAAGTGTATTGGATTTGTTTTGTTTGCTTTCATTCATTGTCCAGTATTTCTCTTTCGAGTGATTGATATTCAGTGCAATATTTTCCCGATTCTTAGCGCATATTTCCCGCAAATATGTGTCGGCAAACATTGTCTCATAAGTAGTCATCACTTGCTGCTCCTGTTCTGACCACAACTGATCCAATAGCTGTTGATGCAAACCATTAAATTCATCGAGTGCGATAAAATTATTGTTAAATAAAATAACGGCGAAGCAGGAACAATATTTTTGATAACAATTAAAAATAACATTGTTCATTTCATTCTTAATATATTGATGATTTTCATAATTTTTATTTAATTGTTTTTCGTAATCCGTTTCTAGATAGTCGTGCCAACTCTGTTTACAAGCATCAATTACATTACTTTTACATTGGTTTAAGGTATTATTGTTCTCTATTTGTGGCCAAATAGGATCGCAAACAGTGTTGTATTTCTCTTGAAATATATCTCTAGTAAATGTCCCGCTTTTTAATAAACCAAACATTTCTTTGTCGTACATTTCTCTACACATTTTCACACATTTTTCGTTTGTTTCTTTATTTTGTGTATTAATTGCTGATATGATTTTCTTGTAGTAATTTATCGCAATTTCAGTTAATTTATTATATTTCTCGCATAAATAGTAATCATTTTTAAACAACTCTTTGATCTCTTCATCCGTCAGTAAAAAGCATTTCAATTGTGTCTCGTCTATGAAATACTCGTCCGATTCGTAGAGTTGTTGACATTTGTTCACAAACTCGTTATAATTTGAGTCGAAGTTAGTGTAAATCACTTTCTGGTCGGCAATAATGTTGTTCGGTATTTGGAAATATCGTGTTTCCAACCTTTCCAGTGATTCAATGAACTCTTGGGATATTTTCAAAGAAATTTTCCCAATTGTTTCACTATTTAACTCATTATTACATGCATAATGTGCTGAATTGTGTGCCTTTTGTATGGCCTCTGATATGCCACATATTTCATTGTCTATTTGTTGCAAAACTTCTACCTTATAATTGTTTAATAACTCCGTTTCCAGTATAGCTAACTCGTTGTGGTCAACGGCACCGGTAGTGCCACTATTATTAATGCTATCATCTAGATCGATCTCCATATGTTGATCCGTGTTTATAATTGCAAACATATCACACCTATCGGTGAGTATTGGATAGTTTTCATTATGATTGTCGCATAATTGTTGATTAATGTCGAGTTGTATTTCTTGTTGCATAATATCGGGAATTGAGTAATTGAACATAAATTCCAAAAGTTGTTTACCATTTTCAATTATTTTGCCTTTTGTAATAATATTAACATCAAGGGCGTTTAAAAATATCACCTTGTTCATTTGTTCAATGAGGGTCCGTATTTTACAGCTAATATTTTCGGCTGTATGTGTGGGACAGGCGACTAAATACGTGCCGTTTTTATTAAAGTCTTGCTCAAGATTTTGATAATTGTTTGACTGCTCGGCATAGAGCGAAACATTAGCCTTCATTGTCTTGGCATCAGTGCATTCCCATTGGCTTAATGTGTTGAGATATTGTACGTACGAATTGACCGGGATCACATACGTGTCATCGAGTTTATCAGGGTATTTCTGTCAATTAAAAAATTAATTTATTTAAGCAATTAGAAAAATATACATATCAATAACCGTACATTTAGACCTTGTTTATTAATTACTAGAATTGTCGATATTCTTGAAATAAAGCGTATGGTATTAATTAGTGAAATATTTTCAATTAAATCGGTGAATGTAAATTGGTAGTTTTGTAGATTAAATAGTATTACGGCCAAAGGTTTATTATTACGGTTAATAATCAACGGTTCGGACCAAATTTCAATGCTCGGGACACTAGTTGTAGTGTTTCTAAACCCATAATTATTATCAAATACTATCTCGTTTGACCATTGATTAGAGTCATTGTGTTGTCTTTGCAGGTAATCTAATATGAGATTAGCAGTGAAAGTGTTTCCCTCAAAATGCGGTCCAATCACTGATACGATCGCTATTTTATCCCATTCTTTGTCTTCGAGTTTTTGAAATACACTTTCGATTAAATGTTTATTTAAATGAAATGTGTTTTCAAACACTTCAACCACTCGTATGTTTGCCATTAAATTTAGACTTTGTATTAGTGACAAATTACCGATTTCTTACGTGTCTAAAGTTAATATTAATAGAGAAATAATAATGAGCTAAAAATAAGTTATAAGATACATGAATACATGTAATAAATTATTTTATTTAATTACTTATTTTAAAATGAATAATGTAAAAGTTAATTAAAAAATAATAAAATTATATCTAAACGTTATATATTATACTTACAGTTTAAGTTTTAATATTAGGTTAACACAAGTTAACATTAAAATAGTTTTAAAAAAAGTTATCAGATACTTAATGTTAAGCAAACATTTTATAATATATTTTATAAATTATAAAACAAAATTTTATAGTTATTGACAGTAAGTATTAGAGAGTGAATGTCATTAACAGTACATATATATTAAGAAACAAACTTATCAATGTCTTGTATGCATAGTTACATAGATATAGTTTATTTCATACATACAGTTTAAGCTAAATACAATCATAGTTAGCACAAAATAATATTTATATAATTTAATTTACCGAAAACTAGCCATATCTAATCATAAAATAGTATATAGACTTGTTGTGACATAATATTTATGATGATAACGGTTTTATTAACACTGTCTGTTAGATTAGAAATGAATTAATGATGATATGATGGATATTTACTTTTATTTATTACTTTTAAAAAAGATTTTAGTTATCTTATTTCACATTGAAATGCAACTAATGTCTGAATATTATTATTTATAACATTAGTTTAACTGTATAGTATATACCAGAAATAATGTATGTGTTTTAGTTAACCATAGTGATTTGAACACAGTATAGTTTAACATAATGAATTTTGATACATGTATTATTCGTCACTACCATTGCCATATTTATTATCAATTAATAATTCACAACTGAAATATTTTATGTAATACGTAAATAAACTAAAAACAAAAAGTTTGAATTGTTAAATATGACCTATGTAAAACAAAGTAACAGGGTCCAATTTATTTAATATTATAAGTAAAAATTAATTACTATTAAATAATGTCTGAGAGGATAGTGTTTGTATTGGATGTGTCGAGAAGTATGAAAGGGATACCCATTAAAACCCTACACTCCGAAACAGTGCGCTGTATTAACCGCATACATGATGGTAATTATGTGGGTATTGTATTGTTTGGCAAAACTGCGTGGACCGCAAATGAATTGACCAAGCTCACCAGTCAGTCCGTTAGACAAAGCATTGTGACAGCCGTACCGGACAATTACCAGGGAAGTTGGTACGAGGGAACTGATATCAGGGCCGGTGTTATGGAGGGGTTAGTTGCGCTCAGTCGCGCCAAAATTGATACCAATGGGGCTAAAATATTTTTGGTCACCGATGGTCACCATGATGTGGGTAATAAGGATTATGTGGGCGATGTGTTACCGCATTTGATAAAAGCGCAGGTTAGTTTGTAGTGTAACTTGTGCAATAAGAAAATAAATGTAATAATTTAAATTATTAATGTAATTTTATTATCAAGGTACATGTATATTGTTTGGCAATCGGTGAAAAAGCCGATCCAAACCTGGAAAAGCTATCTACTGAAACAGGGAGTCAGGTGTTTAGCTCCAGTCGAGTGGATGCCGAGAGCCGCGAAATAATTGGTCGGGTAATGGAGGCCGCGATGAAAGAGGTTATCACCAGTAAAGAGATGGCAGAAGTGGTCACTCATACTGTTGTCAATGAAGTTGTGGTCATAAATGGCAACACATATGAGACTCGAGTGCCCATTGAGGCCGATATCGGACGCAACACTCAAATACATGTCCGCTCCGAAGTTATCAAAGACATTGACGTAGACATCAATGGCCCGTCGGGTGCCGTCTATAGCACTACAGGTGGCGGACAAATAGCTAAGCGGTTGGACCTCCAAGAGTGCAGACTATACTTGGAGTTGACTGAATCGGGTCTCTGGACTATAAAACTAACAAAACAATCATCAAGCACAATTAGGGCCCATTTAGTGGTTGAGAGCAACCCTATTGGTGCTAATGCTATTGAATTGCGGGTGTTTTTACGCGTACCAGAAATAAACTGTCCACCGATAATAATATGCCGGCTGTGTAAAGGCAATGACCCGATTGTAGGCGCTATAGTGACCGCAACAGTGGACAGACCGGGCGGTACTCAGACTGACTTCCCGTTAAACTTGTATCACAACTCTGGCTATTATTACGCATACTTTACTGATTATAGCGGCGCCGGCAGATATAATGTTAGCGCACTGGCCGTTAATGATGTGACAACTACTTACCGAGGTATACGAAAACAGGTATAACTTACTAAAACAAACTCTTGTTAAAAGCAAACTATTATAAATAGGCACACCTACTGGTGCATTCCAGCGCCAACGCGTGGCCAACTGTTTTTACGTGAGGGCCGACTCTATGCCAACACAACCACCACCCGACGGCCACTTTAATCAACTGTTGCTTAGCAACCAATTTGGGTATCACCAAAATACACCGGTTGTTACGGCAGCTCCCGGTCCAGTACGGCAACCACAACCGACACCAGAGCGCAAAAGTATACCCCTATTGAGCGACCAAATGAAAGCACTTAAGGCTCGGCTGTCAGCCAATTATATACGGACTAAGCGGGCGGTCGACGGCCTACAGGTGCCCGTCGGGGGAAAGACTGACCTGATTAACAAATTTGCTGCTTTTGAGCACTTTTTCTCCTCTATCCGCGAGACGTCCGCTGAAGAGATCGATGGCTATCAGCGCCGGTTGGATGAGATTAATGAGCAAGTAACTTTGAGAAAATAAGCTAGGTGATTTGTCATTTAGGCCCTTTTTAGCAATTTTGATTCAGGAAAGTGTTAATTGAGACATTGCCGTAATAACTAAATGATTTATAAACATTATTTATAAAAGATTATGCTATAATTAATTTTAATATATAATTTGCACAACGGGCTACATCTGGTTAAGTTTGTATAGATTCTAGCTAGCCAAAAGTGATGCAATAGTCACCTCACCCCAATTTTTGCTGAAAGTTCATTATAAAATTTCACCTTGGTAGTGCATGCTTTGAAAGGATGGCAGGTGTATAACCTTTAGTAAGGTAACTAAAATGGCGCTATTGGCTATCTAGAGTATAGATGATATTATTAAATACTAAAATGTAAGTTCTAAAAAGTTATAAAAATTAATATCATTAACTTATTTGTAATTACATAATTGATAATATCAGTATGGTAACTATGTTTACGTATATGATATTTTATTACTTTTGGTTTTACTGTTAATAGCACTGTATCTGTTAACAAGCACTTAAATGTATTGTGATTTAAAATATGTTATGAATGCAATCAATACATTTTGTAAAATTAATAAAACTATTTTATTCGTATTTTCCAACCAATAATTAAGTGCCAATTTTCATATGTAAGTAGAAATTTAATATTTTTAATTATTTTATTGTTTTTAAACTAAAGCTATGTATAGTTTTATTCTTGAACTTAAAAATAAGTGAAAGTAAAAACTAGTAAAATAGTAAAAGTAAATTATAAATATTATAATTAAATGTCTATAACTGTATATTATAAGTTAACTGATAAGTCAGTAATTATAATTACAATTTGCCTACAATTTAATGTTTTTAAGTTAAAAATTTTAACTAATATTATAGCAGACATAATCAGATTATTCAAAAAACAAAGTTCATAAAATGTTATCCCTTGCCTAATGCATAATCTACTGTATAATAAAATATCAAATCTAATTGTTTATGATAATATTCATTTTAATGTTAAATACTTAATAAAGTTGATGTTAATAATAAAAATGTGGTTATTTATTGTTAATTAATCATAAGTAAAAATAGCTTGCTAAATCAATTCATGACAAATGTGCAAAAATAATACAAGACAATTTGTTGGAATAATTATTAATATAATCAATTAATTTTATTTTAATTTTATAATAATGTTTTGTAATTTTTACTACAATTAAGACATTGTTTTCATATCTCAAGACATAATTAATGGCAAACATACGAGTGGTTGAAGTGATTGAAAACACATTTCATTTAAACAAACATTTAATCGAAGAAATATTCCGTAAACTGAATGATAAAGAATGGGATAAAATAGCGATCGTATCAGTGATTGGACCGCATTTTGAGGGAAACACTTTCACTGCTAATCTCATATTAGATTACTTACAGAGACAACACAATAATCCCAATGACCACAATGATTATGGTCAATGGCCACACAATGTCATTCTTAAACATGACCATGGATTTAAAACTAGTCATACAAATTCTGATGACCAGGAATCTGAATTGAGTCCCAACATTGAGATGTGGTCCGAACCCATTATTATTGAACTTGCTCAAACACGTGTGGCAGTAATATTGGTCAATTTGCAAAACTACCCTTATTCATTTGCTGATCTTGTTGGAAACACAACACTGATTAATACCATACGTTTTATATCAAACATATCGTCAATTGTTATAATGACTAGACCTGGTGTTGATGTAAATAATTTAAATGAATACTATTAATTATATGAAATATTTATATAATAGTACACTATAATTTTTATAACAGAAACACCCTGATGGTTCTGGCAATGGATATGTGATCCCGGTTAATTCATACGAACAATTACTTAATACGTTAAAGAAATGGGAATTAATTAATTTTGAGGCAATGGAGGCCAATATGTCTCTAATTAAAAATCAATCAGAAAATTTTCAAAAACTTGTCCAAGAGTTTAATAAAAATGGCACGTATTTAGTCGCCTGTCCGACACATACTGTTACAAACACGGACTGGAAAATAAGGGAACTTTCCCGGGAATATGTCGGGCAAATTGGCGCTTTTATACGTATAGATGTGCTTAATGTTAATACAATGATTACAAAAGGTATTACATATTCAAACAGCAGTCAAATGATGTGTTTTTGGGAAAGTCAGATTACCATGTACAATCAAATTGATAATCACAACAATATTAATACTGATAATAATAATAGTGTTGATCTGTCGGCTGATATATCAGCAAATAATAAAAGTATTGAAGAACTAATTGCGGAATTTAGTGAGAAATTTCCGGTAGAAGTATCCGAAGAGTTCTCGGATTCATTGGACAACACAATAAATGAAGAGAAATTTTTATTGGAAAATGAGTGCAAAAATATGTCAATAATTGGCGATCAATTGGTTACAGAATTGGCGGATATTTTCACGAAATTATTACAAAATAAACTTAATGAAGATTTTGAATGTAATATAAAAAGTGAAAATTTTGATAAAATATTTATTGAGATCTTGCATAAAATAAACGTAGAATTTGAACAAAGATCAAGCAAATTTAATGTATTGAAATCATGGTATTTACAAACATTGACCGAGTATATTAATGACCAGAAAGTGATTTACGAAAAGTTTGACTCAATCTATAATGAATTTATGTCAAGATGTGAACAACTTTGCGAATCAGACGTGTATTTCATAGACGAGACACAATTGAAACACTTTTTACTAACGGATGAAAAGATTAAAGAGTTGTTTAAAAATGATTATTATTTATGCGAGAAATACGATGAATTGATCGAAAGAGCGATAAATAACTACAAACAAGAGATATCGCAAATTAATGCAAAAAATAAAGAAAAATTGCGAAAATGCGAAGAAATGTGTAAAGAAATATACGATAAAGAAATGAGTAGTTTATTAAAAAGCGGGACATTTACTGACGAAACATTCCGTCAAAAATATAGCACTATTTGTCGTAATATCTTTACAAAAGTTACAAACAAAATATCGTTAAATCTATATAAACCGAGTGTTTTAATCAAGTGTATGCAAAGTTTTTACAATTTTATAAAATCCAACTACCATGATCAGTTAAATAAAAATCATGAAAATCACGAGTTTATTAAATATGAAATAAACAAAATTATTAATAGATATCAACAAAAATATTGTCAAGAATTATCTGCTCAAATGTCCAAAAGTAATTTTATTAAACTGGATCAATTTAAAAATGAGTTCAAACAAGTTTTAGGTGATATATTGTTAGAACAGGAACAGCAAGTAATGACTTATAAGACACGGTTTGCCGACACATATTTGCGGGAAATATGCAATAAAATTGTAAATAGTATTGAACCCAATATTAATCAATTGAATAATAAATTCTGGCAAATGAATGAACGAAAGCGAAACAAATCGCATACATTTATAATGCGATTTGAAAGTAAACCAATCGCTGTTTATTACTATGATATACAAGATGGTAAAATTTGTTCACTAAACAATACCAATGGGCACCGGGAGTCCAATTGCATTGTGTTTGACGGACAACGTATACTATACGGGAGGGAAGCCGAGCAACACCTGAACGGCCAGTCGTTTCAAATTAAAGACATTATGGGAATGGATGTGACGGATGAAGAGCTCACTGACTATCCCTTTGATTTTGTCGACAAATATCACACAAAAGTACGGTTTCTAATCAACAATGAAATTAATATTGATTTATATATCGAGTCGTTGTTTGCGTTACAAGTATTGGACACAAAGACTAGTGTCGAACAGGTGTATGAAAACTACATGAAAAACATGGCATTTATTGTGCCCACAAATTACACCATAAGGCAATTGAATGCGCTAAACACTGCGGCTAAAATTGCCAGTATTGAACATGCACAGTTTATTACCGAAATGAGCTCGGTGGCAATTGAATTTGGTTTTGATAGAAAAATTAATAAACGTAACACTAATTTCCCGTACGTATTGATCGTTTTAATCACTGATAGTGTCTGTGAATTAGCACTCATTGAATATAAGGATATAAGTGTTGAATACAAGGCATACATACGTGAAGATATTGATTGTCCTCCAATTGGTTGCGATTTTAGCGATGTTGACAAAAATATCGCCCATTTGTTACACCAATTGTTTACACATTTCCCTATTAAACAAATACCGAATTCATTTAGACCTAAGAATAAATTGCATAATTGCTATATTGTTGGTTAGTATACATTGATTTTTTGCTACGTTATAAAATATTTAGTTATAAATTATATTATAAAATTATAAAAAAGTATAATTATTACACTATTATATTTCTTAGGTGCCCAATGTTTAACATCAATCATTGACTTCAAAAAACTCCTAAAGAATTATTGTATTAAAATTGAATTTAATCATGATTATGTGGCGATTATGAGGGGTGCGGTTTATTATAGCAAATATTACGAAACCAATGGTCATAACATACCCATCACTGGAGTTATGTTTCGGGATATCGTATGTCATATCAATTCGGGACAAAAAAGCAAAATATTACTACACGCTAATCAAGTGCCACAACCAAACAACCATGTTACATTTAAACTGAGTCGCTCCGACGAGTTTCCGGTCACTATTTATATTACCGAAGGTTATAATTCGGTAATTAAACAGTTTACCTTGAACAAATATCCCACTGGGTTTGATTCTAAATTTTCCCTAAACTTGTACTTGTTTACTACAAGCGATCAAAACGATAAAACAAGTTCAAATTTTAGCATCGTAGCTAAAATTGGGTCGAGTCACTGGCTGTCAGAGGCGACTGATGATGTAATTGAGTACAAATACAGTTTGACCGAGGTTGAAATTAGGGAGCAAGCACTATTATTAAATAATTTAATTGTACCGCACATTTTTTCTAACGATTACTTAAACAATATGCCGATTGATTATAAGATCAATTACTATACGAAAGAAACAAACAATGTAACACAAATAAAAGCACTCGATCAT